GTGAAAGCCGGACAAGATTCTATCCATAACCCTTGTGGCTATTTTGACAAGTCACGCAGAACGTGTCGGCAATATGCATAACTAGGATTGGTAGTTATCAGTGCTTTAAAGTTTGGTTGCAATCCATTAAAGGGTTTGACCTGTGTAGCCCTGACAAGTTCAATGCCGACAGACGTACGGACAGACAGACGGACAGACAGACGGCAAGGCATAAATAATATGCAATAATACGTGTATAAAAGCAATAAAATAATAAGCGTAGTTTTACCTGTTTCCGCACTTTCTTTTGTAACGTGAAATATCCTTATGTAGGACTTGAAACTGAGGTAACAATTAATACAATCCAAGACTCCTCTATGATCTGAGTTATTTCATAAAGTCAATACTTTCACCCTCCCTTTAGGACTTATTTATAAATCAGTTTTATAAGTTTTATAATCAGTTTTACTGACACTGTCTCCCGGATCGAATAATTATTGTGTTAACCATAGACATGTTTAAGTAATTTTTACACTACCAAGCCCTTATCTGTATAACGTTTTTAATGTCGACCAATAGAAATGTAGGTTCTTTAAATAAACTTAATATCTCTCACAGCATACCGCTCACAATTTGAACTTGTTCTGCTGGCGTTTAAATTCTTATGATTTTATAGATTTACAAGAAATAATGAAATAGAGCGTGGTTTTTGGCATATGTTTGTTATTCATATATGATATAATTTTTTATATATCAATTAAACTTTGTAAGTAGATTAATTTGCTTGAAATCCTACACACTATACGTGGACACACACTCATTGTCATAAAAAAAACTGGCAGTTTTTTTCAGGAAGGACCTTCTTTACTTGAAGTAAAGAACGCCAATCCCCTTACATAGTGTGTAAGTTATTTTATTCAAATAATTATTAGGAATTTTACAGATGTCAATAGATTTCTATAATGTAAAAAATACCTTCAATTTATCGAACATTTGATAAATTCTATAAAATGCGTGTTATAAACATTTATAATGTTTAGATCCGTTATTTGTCGCGTTTAGTGTCCTGTGGTATGTCAATTTGTTATAATAAAAGCATACATGTATACACTACCTCTCAATAAATCGTTTTCCCCATATTTTTCTCGTTTTCATTCATCGTATTCTTCCATCCCAACATAATACACTTAATGTCATTCCATAATTTCTGAAATATATACTTCTGTACGGGCCTTAATATCTTGTTCCAATTTGATTTTATTTAATTATGTACTATTAATCTATCACATCTATCAAACCGATAAGCGACTTGAATATTTTAATTGAATAAGAGTGTAGAGCCAAAAGTAAAACATGTTCATTATAGGAATGTAATGCTGTGTTTTTAGACTGTGGAACAAAAATCAAATATGCTATCAAATATAATATACTACAGCAAGGACATTGCCTGACTGAACAACTGACTTGTAAGATCCGCGGTGTGTTTTTGTACAGCAGTAGAGGTACTTATCATGTAGAACTTTGAAGTTATGCCCGGACTACAAACCAGCTTATTGATTCTAAAAACAATAATCCTACCAAGAGGATAAGGACAAGCGTGTATTATTATTATCATTATAATTAATTACATTTGTCATTCATTTTATTTCTAAAGTATCCCCAGAAAGTCCATGAAATTATATTTTGTTAGGCAATGATCTTTCATTTCATATAAATTTACTTATATTTATCAAGGTCTCCTTGTTAAATTTCAGTTCTTTTGAGAAACAGTTGAAGGTTCGGCTGTCCGTCCGTCCGTTACAAATGACACATTTAACTGTAAGGAACAAAACGAACTGCAAACAGTATTCACAACTTTATGAAAATTGTACTTCATTCCTGAGAGCACCGCCACCTTGTGTTCTTGAGATTCCTTTAGGTCAGACTTTCGCATTGCGACATAGCCAGCGATTGGCTGAAAAAAGTGCAAGGAAAATCGTAAGATTCAAAGGTGATTGGATGAACAATGGGACGTTTAGAAATATTACAACTAATTAAGAAAATAAAACTATTTTAATTTCTAAAGAAATGACATGTTTCAAAAGTCTCTATGAAAATTTGTGACTTGGATATTTGCATTTATAAATGTGTATCTCAGTCCTGTGATCAGCAGAACATGTCAATGAAAGGGGAGGAATATCTTCTTTGAAGTCATTTTGCAAAACATTTGGTTGGCTACTCCTATAAAACAATATCAGTTTTATGTGTCAGGCATTTCATTTTTCTAGAAAAATTACCTCAAATATGAAGTATGATAAGGGACAATTTCTCACGATGTAAGTCTAAGGGAAAATAAATACAGTTGTATGACTTTCATGTTTGGTGTTTCGCCCAATCGATAACATGCTTCGTAATGAATTCCATTTAGACGTACATTTGTCTTGCGGTATAGATCATTCTAAAATTTAAAAATGTGTCGTGTATTTTTTAAACATTTGATAAATAAGCCTACGTGTATTGGCATGGTCGGTACAAACCAACAAACACTGCATACTTATTAATAAAAGTTAAATCACGAAAGACAAGATTACACAACATTTATAATGGCCATGTTTATACAAAACTCCATTTTCGGAACTTACGGCTTAACCTTCCGTCTCAGTCATTACTAATGATAACAAGTTCTTCCACGAAATTCATGTTTAGCTTTAATCTTCTAATGGTCACATCTACTTCAGATGAAATAACATTATTTTTCAAACAGTATGTAACACTATTCACTGAATGATTTGTGACGTGATATAACATAGGTACACACGGTGATCCGTGATTTGTTATCTTGTCTGTACCAGCGGTGCACGATAGTACGATGATGAAATTGCGATGATGCCATTTTACGATGGTGAAAACTCGATTTTACATCGCGTTTTTTCCATCTTGCCATTGCCATTTCAACATCGTTTTCACACAATTGTGTCATCGCGCTTCAAACGATCCTACCAACGGGCTTTCATTTGTAATATCGTGCTTTTACCGTAGTTCCATCGCATTTTCACAATCGTACCATCGCGTTTTAACCATCTGACCTTCGCGTTTTTACCATTGTACCATCGCGACATTGACATTTAACCATCGAACCATCGTGTTTTCACCATCGTACCATCGAGTTTTTATCACTGTGTCATCGTATCATCAGGTTTTCACAATTGTGCATCGCGGGAAAGGATGAAAATAAATTGCGATTGTCCAAACGGATCACCGTAGCACTCTCGTACAATGTTGTAAAGTCAGTCAAATTCCGTGTGCCCACTTTGCTATCAACTACACGAATTATATTGGAAAGCTGTCTACTTATGTCAGCATTCTGATTTTGGTTAAATACTTTGTGTAATAATATCTTTCATTGCAACATTTTTGTTCTATAGAAATTTACTTTGACCTTCAAATATATGTTTTTGCATATCATGTGTCACGTCATATGTGGTTACAGATAAGGAACTCACATCCATGTTCCCAGAAACATCTTCCTTTAAAAATTTTATCTTTCCTTGAAAATAATTACATTTTACTACAGAAACTGTATTTATTAAGGGATTTATTTTCCCAACCTTAATTATTATATCCAGTTTATGTGTGTTAAGGTTAATATTTTTATTAAGTTATTTTAAGAAACAACCGGTTTACATGACTATTGAATATAGCTTATTTACGAAAGTTACAATGTAACAATTCATTTGAAATAATGTTTTCAAGCACTCAATATCTTAATGAAATGATCCATGCCTTGCGACGATGAATTATCTAAATGTTGAGTAATCGCCCTTATGAAAATATGTGACGCGCTCAGCGATTTTTGGCCCAATTGAGTTTTTAATCATTGTGAGAAAAACGCTTGTAAAGTCACGCGAGTTTTCATGTCTTAATTTTTAGGGTTTCCCTTCAAAACAGAGTATCTTTGAGAGTTGAAAGAATAAAATAAACTAGAAAGAACTCAAAAAATACTTTTTGAACAGCCCTTCTCAGCTTCCACGATAAACATTTCCCAAAAATCTATATTTAGAATAAATACACTGTGTAAACTTAGGAGTCAGGTCAGCGAGTAAACACATGTAGATTCACTACAGTACAGTACCTTTTACGTCATGTTACTGCATATTTGGAGGTTTAAATAAATATAAAGGTAAGTGCATCTTTTATTATTTATGCTTTTTCTGTTCATTATTTTTTTCTGATATGTTGAATATGAATAACCATCGTATTTTTACTTTAAACAATTAAATAAATGGGACCATGACACTTGAACTGGTTTATATATAAAAAACATGGCCGGCATCTAGGTCAGGTCATGACAGACAAATGTTTTGGGATACATTGTTTATTGCACTCGATTTGTATTTGTCATGGTCTTTATAAAAAGTTATTGTTAACCTTTTTCTAAATTAGACATTGATTACATTACAAAATAAATTGAAGTCCAGCAATAAAATAAAAAATAAAACAAAAGTTGGCACTTCACATTCGTTTACTGCAGTATTGTATTTTTTTCTACATCACTATGACAAAAAATGTAATTGGACACATAGTAGAAACTATATTTTGCAATTTGTTTACAATGAATAGGCTTGACATAGATCTACATCAAGTAGATTTATACTGTATAAAATATTTTAAAAAAAGGAAATATATGACAAGGCTTCAGTACAGTACTGTAATTATTGACAAATGAATTTCTATTACAATTCAAGATCAATTTAGTAAAGGAAATGTTATCCCTGTACTGCATGCTGCTTTTGAAATACAATAAATAGATCTAGTACTGTGATTGAAGATGTGACCATAGATAAATATTAAAATGCATTTATTTTTATTATGGCATATTCTACCAGCAGAGTTTCCATTAAATTCCAAACATTGGCAGTCAAAGACTGCAAAATGTATGTAATTGGAAGTCACTTTGTATTTAAAGAAGGAATTTTAAGCATTAGGCTACATTTTGGAAGCCAAAACCAAGGTGTAAATGACTCCCAAACTTTAATAACAGAAGCCCTGCTACCAGGATATTTTTAACATTCATGAGCCAGCACTTTTTGCTGATGAAATATTTTGTGTTGTTATTTTAGATCTGACAGCCAACATACATTTAAGATCTTCAACTTAGTTCATCAGAGTTTTGAAGTAGATAATATGATTATCCAGCATGTTGAAGCCATATTCTTCAAGGAAATGTACTTGTAAGTGTTTTGATACTTGGTTTAAAGATCAAATGATTTACTATGAATGTAATCTTTGTATACATATGTAAATAATCATCATAAACTGACCATTCTCAACCCTTTTTATCAAATAATGATATTGATAAATTTCCTAAAATGCAGTTGAAAGTAATGTATTGCAATTTATTTGCATTTTAGCATTTTATATATGATGTCAGGTGAGATCTTAAAAATATTGTTTTAAAATACTGTGTACAGTAAAATGAACTAAATTTTAAGTTTATATTTAGAAATAATGCTGTATTGTTTTATGCAAATGCTCTGTCAATAATGTTAAGCTCTTAAAAATATATACATAATTTTCAGAAGACATAGATAGTTCACCTATTTGCTGATGAATATACTAAACTATTGTTGGAAATGAGGCACAATGTGTGACATAGTTCTATGCCCTATTGAGCACCAGGGTTCTGGACTGAAAAGGACAATCACTTGTATCAACTTTACTGTATTGGTCAAGATAAAAAACACTTCAATTGGGTAAGCATGTATATTTATGCAATATTCCACATTCTCTTTACTTTGTAATAAAGAGTGCTGTATTCCAACAACAATACATGCACATATGTAGATTCAGATTACTTTAGTCATGTTCAAGATGAATGTTACTGCCACTTGTACATGATATATAGACTGTAATATTTTACACAAGAACTTACATGATGAACAAGATATTATATGAACCCAATAGTTGTGCAACACTATACAACAATATACTTATAGTTCATTTCTGTTCAGTCAAATATCATATACACTATATTGTAGTCAAATCATCATATACACTATATTGTTTCATTTATACTTATTCAGGTTTTTGTTATTTCAGGATGGCATGTGAGAAGTCAATGACTTGTCTATGTTTGACAGTATACCAAAAGTGAATTACATTCTCATAGAATTTGTCTTTAGAAGTATCCCTGAAAAAGCTGAATACTACAGTGGCAGGTGTTACAATATTTGTACTTAATTGTGAAACAAGTTTTATATATGAATCACTTTTTGCTTACAAAAACTGAAGACATATGAGGAGACATAGTTGTTATTACCCTGTTTGGGTCAAACCCTCAACATGGGGTTGCAAGACTATAATTCAAGGACATAAATGACCTCTCATTTGTGACTTCCCATGTTTGCTAGAATCTGTTATTGTAATTGTTTTAAATTAATTGAAATTATTTCAATTTAAAAATATACTAATATGTTATTCATATTATACAATTTAAAACACACTGATCAGAATATGATTACACTGTCTGTATCTGTAACTGAAAATTTAGTCAGGAACATAACTAGTGCAAGCCCTTTCTATTTTTTTGTTTTTGTTAAAATTCTGAAAGACTTTTGAAGTTATTGTGATTCTTTTTTTGCTGCTTCTGTTTTCCAACTTTTCTTTCACCATTGCTTCATACTTTTCTTTATCTGCTGCTTGCTTTATATAGCTTTTCATAATGATCTGCTAAATCTTTTTTCTGTTTCTCTAATGCTTCTGTCTGAGCTTTCTGTTGTTGCTTCAATAATTCGTCGAGTTTTTCTTGGTTTCGCCTTTGCTCGGCTGAAAAAAGAATACATTAATTATCATGAATGTTATACCATAATGTATGCTTATAGAAACATTGTATTTCAATCATTTTATTAATAACAAATATTTTCAAGAATGTACAACTATTTTGCATTATGTTTTATTAGCTCCAAACAATGTTTACCTTTTTATTGTTAACTGTCATTTTTTAAGAATGTGGACTATATTTTAAGTAAACTACGAGTAATATAAAATGCTACTGTTTTCATGAACTTGATATTTCTTGATCAAGTTAAAAATTAAGCGAAGAGGTGATCGGTTAAGAGAGTTTGACGCTAGAAGGTTCATTATCATTTTCACTTCTGAATATTACACACAGTTAATCTTCAAGCTGTTTTGAATGGATAATTTCAATAATGTTTTATTTTTGCTTCAGAAACAATCATTAAATACCTTCTATCTCCTGCTGTGACAAATTTTCGTCAGCGTCAATTATTTTAGCTTCTGTTTTTGTCATACTTTCTACAAATCCATACCATGTAGTTAAAATCTATTAAGAGAATGAAAAGTTCTTTACTGTATGAATACTTCATGATTTCTTTGAAAAGTTGTAAAACGAAAAAAAAACAAAAACATAAGTATATATTTTAACAAAAGCTCAACAAATCAAAAGAGTTCTAACGTAACGATGTCGCTTATATGAGATTTATTGCTAGAAAATGCCAAAATAATAGTTCAACGCAAGAAATCATTCACTTATTTTGAGAAAAAAAGGGACCACGACTGGCTTGATTTTAAAGGATCTTTACTAGGAAATGCTGAATAATAAACAAAACATCGTTTGTGCACAAGAAGATTCAAGTGTGGTTGCGTATTTAAAAGTCTATATACACTAAGTGACTCTTTGAAATGCTCAAGGTCACATGGTAATACAACATGTCAAATATCTGAGGGTAAGGCATTGTTGTTTCTGTACATTATATTTAACAGTAAGATTTCAAAGTCAAAAGAAAACCGGACACGTAAGCGGGGATATTTACGACTTTTGAACGCGACCAACTAGACAATGCTACAAACAAAATATATGTGAGTCTTACTATCTGTGTTAAAATAAAATGTGTCCAATATAACTTTATTCAAACACGAACAATATTGAGACTATATGCACTATGTAATGGGACGAGCGAAGAAAATTTCTAATTTTGGGTCATTAAAACTTATGAAAAGAGGCTTTGTTAAAAAATAAATTTTTAATCAGCTGCTTTAATTTACAAATGCATCAGATGGAAGAAAGTTTTTAAAGGACTCCTCAAACAACTTTGAAATTAATGTTCAGTTTAATGTGAGTTTAATGTCAATTTTATGTTGAATACATAATTGACACGACGGCCAACATAATATCAAAAAGGGGCGCATATGTGCAAATTGTGCTAATATAAGCTGAATAAAAAAATAAAATATTTTAAAAAGACAAATTGCGCTTTCGAAAATGAAAGAATTCCTTATTCGATGCTTTATGATACTATAGTTATTCTTTAATCCGGTAGCAGTAAATATTTTCAATAAGAACCATAAAAACGGAAAAAAGAAAAAAAGACAATATCATTTTTTAAACCTCTTGTTCCTTGAAGTCTCTGAAAACACTGAAATATTCATCTTTGGTTCTTTCAACATCACGCTTATATCTCCGATGGCCACCTACTGTTTCATACCCTCGATTATCTAGATTCTTTTCCAAATATTTCACAAACAAATTTTGCAATGTATTCTCACATTTGTTTTTAACTTTTTGCTCATTAGTTGCTTTTATCTTGTCCCAAATTGCATCCATTTTCCTCTGTAAAGAAATAAATAATTATGTATTTTTATTCTTGGTTGGATTTCAGTCAAACCGACACTGTAATGTTTTTTCCTGGTGTGAGAAGACCTCAAGTGTTCCTACAGGCACTGTTTGAGAACTAACGGGTACATTATAAGAAACTACGGACCTTACATAAGCTAGCATGATATCTTTCACACATGACATAATCAAAAGTCCTTGACGGAAATAAAGCCACTTTATTATTATTATTTGAATACTGTTCCACTGGGCCACAAAAAACAACTTTTTTCATTAAAAGATTTAAAAAACTTTTCAAATTTTTTGATATTTTTAGTTGGAATTTTTTTAAAAAATTATTAAATTTTAAAAATTTTTATCACTGGCCCCTTTTATTATCATCTTGTTTCTTTTTTGGAAATAAGTAAAGTAAAGTTCTTAAATTTTTAAATTGTATAAAAATAAAATTTTGTTTATTTATGCTTTTTTTATAACTTACTTCCTTTTGGGCCTTTCTAGGAAAATAAGTTTTCATGCTTTACACCAAAATGTCTGTAATAAAAATTTTTTTTTAGTTTTTTAAAATCATGAACTTAAAGTTTTTTGGATAATTGCCATTTATGTACCACATATTAGAGCATTGTTGTTTAAAAATCTGTAAATGAATGGAAAAGATATGGACTTAATATAATTATCAATGCGTTCCATTTTTTCACCTTTTACATTCAAGTTTGACCTTGACCATTGGGTTTCTGAATTTGCTATTATGTCATTTTTCAACATCTTTATTTAATATACATAAACCATAAAATAATACATTTTTATTTATAACGGATTTTTTCTTTTATTCGGCATATTTTTAAAAAATGGAATTGTGCGGCGTAAAACACTTTTTCATTTTAAAAGTTACTGTAAATAAAAAGTAAAAAAAGGAAAAAAGAATCCAGTCGAAAGAAAAAACTGGCGAAAACTTTTATAAAATTTTGGCAAAAGCCGTTTTGTGTTTTTCCTTTTCCTTTAAAAAACTTATTGCTTGACTTCACTGAGTTTGAATTTTCTTTTTTTTTTTAAAATATATAATTCGCGAAGTCGGCTATCCTTGTGGCTTGTGTTTAAAGTTTCCCAAAACACTTTTAGAGACTGCGGGCTTATTTTTTTCCCTTTTAATTTTAAAGATTTCTAGAGCCTCTTCTTCAATTTTAGCATTTTCTATTTTCGCCACAGCTGTAAATGCGTCATCCACATCTAGAACAGCACCATATTTAATAGCTGTAATGTAGCGGCCAGCCAATGTTACGAACACTATAAAAAGGAAAAAAAAATGTTCAAAGCAAATGTTACTTCCAAAAAGGATAAATACCACACAAGGTAAGTGATGATTATGATGTCATGCAAATACTTTCCTGAAGTCATTAAAACAAGAATGAGGCGTTAGTAAAAATGCTAGGCTCGTATTCAATGGAAGAACAATCAAGGGAATCTTTAATCCCTTTACTACAAATACAATCAAAAGTTTGGACTGGTGTAAAATCATTTAAATAAAGTTTGCTTAAACAGTTCAGTCGTAATCGATTATGAGGTAATAATCAAAATAAGTTAACAGAAATTTGTCCCTAATTTAGGCATTCCACGGCCTCTGAAAATAATTAACTTTCGATAGACATCAAGTCCACTGAATAATCTGCGATGAATTCCTCAACACATGTTTGAATTCAGTAATGCTGGTGATATACCGCGTCGTTACAGTCTATGGTGAAAAACAGTTAAATGTAATTACACTGCCAATCTGACCTGCTTTCTAATTAACTTAATTAATAAACAGACTATTATAAAGCCGTTCTTCATAAAGTCGGCGTCAATATATTGTAAAATTCATACGAAACGTCTTCGAGCAATTTGTTTAAAATAGGTAATATTCATTTACAAACAATTTTCAATTTAATCATAGGAATTTTTTTTTTATTTCTGTAAGGCGACGTATCCAAATTAATCATACCCAGGCACAAAGTACAATTGTTAGAACTCCCATTCAGGTTCAAATTCAGGAGGTGGCACAAAGACAAAGAAGTGCGATTATAATATTACTGTAAAGTATCCAATAACAGAACTCACAGGAAATCAAATATAAGTATTAACAAAGGTAGTGATGTTTTGTTTTTTTATTTTAAGTTCTTAAACGGGAAATACCAAGATAAGACAGAGAGGGCAATGTGTTTTTTTAACGATAGAAAATCACATTGTAATTATTTAATGAAACTGTTATATTGATCTATTGTGCTTTATCTAACATCTCTTATAAAGAAACGGATGTTATAGCAGATGACAAATAAAACCATATAGGAGTTGCCTCAGATTTTTAAGTTGTATCATCAATTGCTGAGAATAAACTCAAATTCTGGTTAAGCATGTTATTGAAAGGTTTAAGGTATTTTCGTATGTAACAAATCTATGTCTTTACATGGTAGGCTAACTTTTTCAATATCTGCATACAGACATTCATGTCTACATTAAAACATTTATGTTTTGTTTTTATGAGATATAACAGTACAAAACTAATTCTATTTATGTATGTCCAGATTTAATTACATACTTTCAATAGTTATGGTCATTTACTACTTACTTTGTCCATTTATTGGTTTACTGACAAGCAATTCCTTCGGTGGTATTTGGTATATATAGGATGTAAACCGAGTTGTTACTTCCTGGAACCTAGTAGATAAATTGGTAAAACTCAAAGTTTCAAGATTCTCAAGAACATCACCATCACCTGGAACTGGAAAAGCAAAGCACTCGCGTCTCGAAAAGTATTTTCTGATGCACTCTCTTGGTCTGTTGAACTGCTCCGCTTTGCTTTTGTTTTCCGCTAAACTTTGCTCAAGATAATCGTTTTCTGTTATCTTTTTCCCACCTTTTATCAATTTGAGACTGAAATCTCTCAAACAGAGAACGAAGTCAGGAAGTATTAGATTGATCGACTGATTATCCTCAGAAGATTGTCCCCGAAATTTTATATTGCTTGCCATTTCTGTTACAAATCTGAAGTTATTCAGTTAAGCGTCCTAACATGAAAGAATAACCGGCGGCAATGTACCGTGTGGTTAAGGCACCGACTTCAACTTAATTGACGCTTAAAATGATAGTAACAACACAAGGATGTGTGAAATAATGATCATGAAAATCAACGCCGGTTACAATTGGAATATTTTCTTTGCAAACTATAGTATCTATATATTCAGTGTATACAACATTATCTAATAAATCAAATATGTATTGTACATACTATATTATCTAGAAAATTGCGTATGAACAGACAAAACACGTTAACTTTATAATTATTTCAATAAAATTTATGGTGCATGAAAAGCATTTAAACAAAACAAAAATCCCGAGAAATATCCAATAATTATATGCTAACAAAGGATTTAAATAAAGATTGGTTGCTTGATGCTTTACTTTAAAGTTAGATATCCCATTTTGTGCTTTATTGTTTTTTTTTAGTTTATTTATTTATGATTATTATTCATATTTGTTGGTGTATAAATAACTCACGAATTATCATGTTTAGTAATTTATTCTCTTGAAACAATGAATTTGATTCTGGAAACCAAAAGCTTAAACTTCGGTTTCATAATTAATTTGCCTACCTTTAAAACAACGTCACAGTCATATTACTTAAACATAAAAAGGATACGTGAGTTTAGAAACAGCGTCATTATCAAAGGCTCCGTCCATGTTGTAAACTAAACAGTTGCAAAGAAGTGTCGCTAAGGTTAAAATCTTGTTGTCATAACTTGGGTCACCCTGTCAAATAAGATTATAAGTAATTGACTTTTAAAATAAGTTTATAACAGCCTGGAAGGTAAATTAACAATAAATTTTATTTACTTATTGTTTTTAAAACACTCACCGTCGAATACTTTTGAATAAACTGCACATACCTTTTCAACATCGCCAAGTCCTTCGGTATCAAGCAGCAACAGAACAGTGTTCGACATTGTAGGATGTATTTTACACCAGGCCCAAATGCCCTTGGTTTTTAATTCAGTCGTATCTCCAAGTGCAAAACCTAAATCAACATTATTGAAAACAGAGCTTTATCTTCACTTTCTTAGCATAACGAAAAAGGAGCAATGTAATTGCGATATAATATTTTATCTACCATATTTATCTTGTATTTAAAGAGATACGATCAATTAATTCTGGAACTAAATTAATGAGAAAAATTTACACAACACACTTTTTTAAAATTACCTTTGCTCGAATTCGCCAGACGATTCATTAGATACGATTTTCCAGTTCTGTACAAACCTGCGATTGCTACAACAACTATTGGCCAATCTATCTTTGCTATTTGATCAAACACTTTTTCTTCGCTCTTTAAAAGTATTTTAGTTTCTTCTCCTATTTCGTTTGTTACAGTTACGGCGCTGATCATGCACATTGGATGTTGGAATATTTCCAAATCATTTGGAGACCAACTGCTGAAAATGTTATCATCATTTTATTTTTTGTTCTTGTATTATTAAATTTACTGAAAATTTACATTGTCTTTACAATATATACCCCAGAACATATAAAGAAAAACTTTAAGGGAACGAATGGATATCAATGCGAATTCAAACACAACCCAACATCTCAAACACAGCAACAAAAATACATATGTGAGCTAAACGTTGCTTCGCACAGATAAGGGTTATTCAATACACAAATGTAATCTTTACGGCATTGGCGACAGGTATTACAGGATGTATTTTAAATATGTCTTCAATAACGCATATACGTATATAAAGACATACCGGCTTTGACTACCAGACACGTTTTCCATCTTCTCCCGTAATTCGTTGTCGAATTCATTTCCGGACCTGAAATGTTAAACGTAAATTATACACGTTCGATGTGTTAGTTTATATAAATATATAGATGATATATATTAGAAATAAGGAAGGGATCTTTTACGTTCCCGACGTTAAATGCATTGTTTAATCAAATACATGTATATTCCATTTTTTTATAAGAAAATCCACCATTGTTGAATTAATGACGACGTAACCAAACACAATTGAAAATATGAAGACAGGGGGGTAGTGCTTGACATATTTCTTTCAAATATTCATATTCATTGAAACGTTTGTAAACTCCGAAACATATTGTGATCATGGTGAGCAATTTAGGATTTATGTTAATTGTCGTAACGTCCTTGTAGGCAATTGTTTTAAAAGATTTTATTTTCGAACGAAAATTTAATAAAACGATTAATTTTGCACGGGATGATCATTGCATAGAGCTCTACCAAAATTCAAATACGGTTGCGTTTTATTGCATATCTAGGTCAATGAAGCTAATGAAAATGAATTTGAAAATGCAATTTTTAAAACGAAGAACATGTTTTGTTTGTTTGTTTGTTTGTTTGTTTGTTTCATTTTACGCCTTTTCTAACAGTATTTCAGTCATTTAGGCGGATAGTTTCCTAACCGTCGTTCCTGGAGAGTTACACCAGTACTAGACTACCTTCCTCCGCGCTTAACGATAGAACATTCAACATCTGCTAATTGTTTTTTGCAAATCATAACAAAGGGCCTTGGGGATAACTTAATTAATCAGATATGGAAATCCTTTAAAGTACGTCTCGATAACCGTAAGACCCAACCCTTTAATGTTATGTGTGCGTGCGTGCGCGCATGTGTGCGTGTGTGGTGTGTGCATGTGCGCGCTTGTACGTTTGTGTGTGTGTTTTGGAGTGTGTTTTGGTGTGCGTGTGTTGGTGCGTGTGTGCGTGCGTGCGTGCGTGCGTGCATGCGTGTGTGTGTTAACAACACAAATTTAGTAGGTAATGGGTAAACATGCTTATCTATTGCTGTCGTTGACTACTTAATAAAAAATATATAATATATGTGCATTGTTTCTTTCAACATATATTTTACGTCAAGTATCATCAAATTTCGTTCTCTCAATCTAAATTATTTCTGTCATCAATATATCATGGTAATGTATGGACATTTATGGTCATATGTGGTTATATATGGACTTGTCTGGTCAAAGATGGACATGTATTGTCACATTGATCATGTATGGTCATGTTTGTCATATATGGTAAAGTATGGTCACTTTGGTCATATATGGTAAAGTATGGTCACTTTGGTCATGTATGGTCATGTTTTGTCATTTATGGTCACTTTGGTCATGTATGGTCATGTTGAACAAGACAAATCATTTCCGCAACGTGCCCGGATAATAGCCTCCACCCTTTTCCTCAGGCCAGGTATTTCGCCTCAATTTTGACAGGATCACAACTGAAACTTTAAATTTTATTTGGACAATGGTACGAACCACCTGTAGTAAACCTGCAACAACTGGAACAAGCACTGCACCAAGAATGGCCAAATTTACCTCAAATTCGCATCACACGCCTTACTGGTAGTATGAGGAAACGGTTTGAGACATATCATCCGGACGCATGGCGGTAACAAACGTCATTAAAATGTTTTGGCTACATAATGTCATTTTAGGTTATGTGATCGTCAACATTTACCAAAAATATACACCAGTAAATGATTTGTAAACGCTCCAACACCATACTTATAAACACTTATATATTTGGCAAAACATAACACATTTGCTTAAGCTTCAATATATTGGTTATAAATTAATTAAACTAATACATTTACTGGTTTATGATTACTAAATCGGTATCTCTACATATCACTATTTCTTAGCTCAATTAAGCCTTCATATCATGACAGTGCTTTCAATTACAACCAAATTTAAATTTGCGGGTTTGCTTAACTTATTTCTAGGTGAATATAATGATGTTCACTTAGATTTGGGATATTCTAATATTCTACATCGAGTTAATACTACAGGAAGAATTGTCTTGTAAACAAATACACAAATAAAGAAAAAACGTCCCGTCCTAGTATATATAGATCTTTTTATAAACTTTATTAAACTTTAAGGCTTATATTTTCATATTTTCATTATACTCGTACGTGAATTATTAAATTAAAATTAATCGGCATGCTGTATTTTGATGAATCTAAAGACTGGTCTTTTGATTTTTTCTTACCATGCAATATACAATTATCTCGCTGTGATTTAAGGGTAATAAAACTTATTTACACATATGAACAAAAGAATCTGACCTATGCAAAGCTCCTAGCTGTTTACAAGTTTTCATCAACTGACTGAGGCACGAGTCAGGCGTGAAGTCATATGTTTCGATCGTATTGTTTTCCTTGATTCTTTCTAGCTGTTCGTGTATAAGATGTAGATTTTGTTTGTATGACAGGGAACTGATAAACAAATTGTAGGGCTGATCAGCTTCTGATTGTAATGTGTCTCTCATACAATTTGTGTCATCAACTAGGCTTTTGTTTTCTTTTTCAAGATTTTCCAATTTTTCCAAATCTGATGCCATAGTGTCATCTCCATATATTAGCATTGCATCAGCAAGTTTCGTGATATGTGAAATCACTTCATCCCTGAACAATTTGACGTCATGAGCAAACTTTTTGTTGACATCTTTTACATGATCCTTGTTGAGCTTGATGCTTCCTAACATAGCTGTTGCTTCATTGTCATTGTTCTCTATGTCCTTTTTCAATTGCTTGAACTCTTTACTGTCTATATAACCATCGATGTGTTCAAGAATATACTCTACTTTACCGGGTTTGTTGGAGACTACCATACAATCACCACAACCTACTTGGCCATGCTCGGGACAGAAAAATTTAATACCCTCGTTGAGATGTTTAGTACAATTATCGAATGTTGGGGTTTCTTTGCTCTTAGGTTTAGCTTCGACTGATTGGACAAGTCTATGTCCCCGATTAAGCTTGAACTGTTTGTGTGTATCAAAACATCTCTGACACATTTCCTCTTCGCATTGTGAACAGAAACCATCCGAGTATGTTGGTGTCTTAAGTTGCTCACAAAGTTTACAATAATAACAAAGTTTCTTGCCAGATACCTCCATATTTTTATAATGGATTGATCTGAAAAATAAGTTTGTCACCTTTACTACAAATGTGGTATCTTATCACAAATATAAGCAATGTGTGTCTTTTAAACATAATTATGTTATTTTACAACCTGTTCTTAACAAATTACAGTAGAAAATAACGTTAGATTTTGCTATAATATTTTTGTTATATACAAAGATTTTTAAGAAGGTAAAAGGGAGAAAATTCTTGACATTTTCAACCCTTTAACCATATCAAGTAATATTTTGATTGGATGTTTGTCAATGTATTTAAAACATTTTAGCTTGAACTGACACGAACAAGATAAAGATGCATTTATACATCTGAGCCATTTGCAGTATTAATGCACGGTATGATATTAATTCAATATGTGGCGGGATTAAGATATTAAAAATTTTGCTAAACAATTGCTAGGTCAATACTATGGAGGCTATTCGTTGCCAAAAATCCAGCCTTGTTGATCTGAGTTTGATCAGTTTGTTAACGGACAAAATACAAATGTATTTCTTTGTATGTAAACTCCGATGTTGCATTCTTGGATTGAGTTTGCCGATTTAACATTGTAAACATGCATTTCAACAAAATACATTTTGTTAAACGACAATTCATTAACTGATTGTAGCAATACCAAGTGTTCGAATACTCATTGTTCGTGTATACGCGACAAAACAGAAGTTACATTCTTAGCTTTACGTTGTCGAACCATAATGATTCGAATCAGCATAATCCAGCTTTACACGTTTTTCAATAGGAGATAAAATAAGCTCCGCCCATTTTCCCGCCCACTACATCATCGTAAATAAACGTATTTATCCGCTCATTTTCGGTATTTACCGTCGGCGACAAGAAGCGATGTAGTTTCCGTTTACCATACCTTTTAGGTGTTTAGTTATTCACCAAACATAATTCATTTGCATGATTGCCATTCTATGCCTATAAAATCAACATTAGCGGACTTTTTAGGATTATAGGCATATAAGTTTTAAAACGTTGAAGATACCACATTTCCTAGAAAAAGAAACTAAAAAGAAAAAAAAAGAGAAAAAACACACACCAGGCTTCTTACTGTCTGAGGTTAAATATTTTTCAAGGAAGAAAAAACTATTGATAAGACTATATTCAACGACAAATAAATTTTTGTGAGGGTATTCCAATCTGCATAGGAATGAGTAACATTTGCAGTTAAGCTGCTACCTTTACTTACCACTTTCAAATTTTCAAGTCAACATCTGATAGAGATTTTGTTACGACTAAATTCTAATACAGACCAAATTCTGGCTGTTGTCTTTCCTAGTAGTAGCATTTACTATTATATTAGTAACCTTAATTCTAGCGTATGACTTGACAAGAAAAAACTTTTAACAATAATAAAATTATAACCAAAGTTGTATGTACCCGTTCGCACATAACTTTTTATTTTTACCATATAGATATATTTTTCATTTTTCCCATTTTGTTTTTCAATAATAATATTTAAATGAGTCCAACTGTATGTATGTTGATTATCAATGTATGTATACCTTGTTTATTTTATCTCTTAGAAAGCCATCACTTACAAAACTTAATAAATATTCTGTACTCTGCTTTTGATCAGAAAGACAACAAGTCTAGGTAACAGCTATTGACAGCATGTATACACAGATTTTAGAGTTGCTATTGATTCAGTACAATGCATAAAAAGACCTTAAGTAACCTACGTCAGCTTACATATATTTAATAATAAAAGGCTTAATCACATCCTATGACTCAAAATACCTCCCAATGGAGGTAAACAGAGATGCTAGGATACACTTGGTCAAAAATATGGGTTTTTCTACAACCCAACATAGTCCCTTAAAAAAAGAAGGCACAGGCTTACTGTTCAGTTCTCTTTATCCGTGTTGCCAAAAGTAACTTCCATGTATTCGCATTCTAGTACTATTTGCTTAATGTAAAAGGTAAGCTTACGAGTATTGCCGTGTAACGTATGAAGGCAAACAAACCCTATCGTTCACATCAAGAAACAGTGGTGTGTGTCATTATATATGGAAAACATTCCCTTATGTTAATTCACAAACTTTAGTTTTTGCATATTATTATGCTAATTTTCAGTATATACGTTGTTACATTGTTTCATTATATCTTAAACAATTTTGCATTACTTGAATATCCTGTACTAGAATACGTTTTGATATTTAAAGTCAACTGTAATGCAGTTGATGTATGTGAAATTTATAACAGTTTCTATATAATTTGAAATATTTCTGTACCAGCAAGAGTTACCTCTCTTTATATTCTGCTTTCGTGAAAATTGGCTTCGCCTATTAATTTTCGTCTATTTTCGTGATAATTCCATATATGTAAGTTGCAAAATCGTTTACAAATGTTAATCGCGTTAGAATGTAAAAGGAATATGTGGTGTTGTAAACCTGAGTGTGTCAAGTTGATGCAGTTACATTCTCAACGTCATGATGCACAGCATTAAACGTATTGTGTACGTTCTATCGTTTACATTTCTACATGCCGCAAATTTGAAGTTATACATTTATAAATACAGTTTGCAATTTATCTAAGTTGCATGTTAACAGCTTTCATTTTCAATGTGGCCATACCACGTGACTTTTCGGGTACGGAACACGCCGATTTTTCACCCGATTCAGGTATGTTTTTTATTCATAACTTATCTATTACTCAACCGATTTTGATCAGATAAGGCGCAGAGTACCCGTAATTTTATCAGCTTTCCACGGTATATCAAAATTCTGAAAACCCCTAAATGATTTTTGAGAACATTCGAGTACAGTTTTCTTCTCATAGCCGGGGCCGAGGGGAACGGTACACACTCATTTGTCATAACAAGCGATTTCTTGCAAGTCATATGTTTTTTGTCACTATTTTATAGAAAATACATGTTAAATCTGATATATTTACTATGTCCAATGTATCGAGTGAATGCAGTGATGTTTTAGCATATTTTCATAAAGTTATGTTGAAATGGTACGGAACACACTGTTATTTAAAAAGATACGGTACACACACAATTTCTGTCTTTGAAATAATTTTAAAATAAAACATATGAAACTTTGATTTAAATTATAATATGAGTGATTTTTTTTCATAGTTATACATTTTATTTTTATATTTTTAAACAAGAACCCTGGGACCTGTTTTGCAATGTATCATTATGCTTACTTCAAATGTTAATATGTATTTGAGCATTGTATTTCAGAAGTAATTGTCTCACTAGTATTTAAAATCACCAAGGGTATGTTAAACACTTCGATCTTCAAAGAATCATGTAGTCGCGTTTCAAATGATTGTTCTATAGAAAGAAATGTTGTTATAATGCTGTGTTTATTGTTGTTTATTGTTGTTGTTTTTTGTATTTCTTTTAGTTTTAGTGAAGTGTAAGATATGTCTTTTTGCTTCCTCCGGAAAAAATAAAACAATGTCATGACCTAAATCGCTGAAAAATATCATTACTTGATAACATTATATATATTTATATTTTGTTTATAATAAGTAAGTCACTAGGTACAGTTTTGCAGTATCATGGTCATGTTTAATTAAATCAAAATACAGAAGGCGCTGAATTTGTTTGGGTCTCAGAATGTCAAAAAGGTGAAGGTTATGAGATTACAAACCAATTTGTTTTTGTATAGTGCCACCAATGCTGTTCCCAGTGTTATAACTGTAGTAAATTGGCTATAAGGCTTATTGCAACACTGATATTCAATTCAATGTTTATTTGGCTTGAAAAAAAACAACAAAAAAACAAAAATAAATAAAAACATGAGTTGCCTTAAATGGGGTTTGAGCTCAGGACATCTCTCTCTCTCTCTCTCTTTCTAAACGAGCGTGTAATTATCCCCTCGACCACGGGGAAGTTACACGATAACAGCCTGAAGAAACCATATCATTCTAAATTAGGGTTAGTAACCCCTTATTTATTTCGTTTAACACTGATTAAATAATCATGGAGCTTAATATTGCATGTATATCTGTAAAGAATGACACAATATTTGAAACCTTTGACCAACCGGGAAGTACTTTTCTTCCCCTGAGAAGGCTTGAACATTAATGCGCCTGTCATCTTTACGCAGTGATCTCCCCTTATTTTTTCGGCGTTAGAGTACTTATAAAGGTAAGTAACCGCTTCCAGGAGTTCGGACTACTTTCTGATGTTGCAAATAAGCATATCAGAGTCTGAAATTTCGCTACAATTATTTGTTTGGTCTGACGACCCAAACAAATAAAAATGTAGTTGCCATGGCTTAAATTTTTTATGTTTAAAGGCAGAAAGCTTTAAGAATAACTTTTAATTCAGGTAATATAGGTCATTTTTGGTTTGGTTTCACGGCTCACCAAAACTGACATGATCATGTGGCAACTTTCCAGTTTTACAAGTGCCCCTTTAGGTATACATAAAGGTACGAACGGGCACCTGAGTAGAACGACCGACGTTCTTTACGGTAGTTAGAAAACTTTCTAACATAAAAAATCGAAACATCAAAGTCATAGGTGGTCTCGTACCTACTTCATGTAGTATATAAAACAAAACGCAGCCTCCATAGCATTTAATTTACAAAATGGGTATTATTAAAAATATCAAAAGTGTACTTGGAGAGCACTATCCTCGTAAGACATTGTTTAATTATTTTATTTTAACACAAAACACGCAAGCACACATATCCATGAAATCATGTTTTAAAGCATCTTTAAATGAAAGTCCAAGATAGGCATAATTTCACCAAAATGTCTTACATGCATATGTAACAAGGTTACCTTGTGTAAACTACGTTACGTTATATAACATACCATGTTCCCATATGGGTTCTTCAAATTATCCGGCTTTTTATTTTGATTGCACGTAAAACCGCGGAATATCTTTGTCCATATGTGGATAATTTGATAATTAAATACATGCAGTTAGTTTGGGACCCTGGCAGATGAATCATACCAAATATCATGTTGCAGAAAAATACTTTAAACTTTCCGTGATTTAAAAAATCCACTTTCATCAAAACCA